ACTTCCAGGACACACTTCAGAAACCACATCTGCTCATGTGAGTGTTGTAGTGATGGGTATTTGTAACTGCAGCATGAACACTTCATTAGCTCTGTTACAGGAACAATAAAATGAGACTGTTGTTTCACTTGATCTGTTTCACAAAATTCTGGGTTCTTTTGGAAGAGATCTCAGTAAAGCACTTATGGCTTTATTGAATAATATTAGCTCAAATACCTTTTTTTTTTTGAGTTTTATGATTTTTAGTAACTGCTAGAAAACTCCTGTAATACAGCATAGGCTGCAAGAGCAAAAACTGTTGGTGTAGAAGAATGTTAGATGTAGTGTTAGTCTAAATGCTTAGATTTGATTCCAAACAAGCTGGATTAGATCATGGGTTATCAGGAGTAATGCAGGAAAAATGAAAGTGTGCTTTTTATCTTGCCAAATTAGACTTTCTTGGTTTTAACTCTTTTGTTAATAGATGACAACAGCAACCAGAGTTCAATAGCTGATGCTTCTCCAATAAAACAAGAGAACAGCAGTAATTCAAGTCCAGCACCAGAGCAGAACTTGGCAACACAAGCGGACGGCACTGAAATAAAGTCTGATGAGACTCAGGCAGAAGCAAAGGAGCAGCCTGGTTCAGAAGGTAAGCTGAAAGGACCATCAAAGCCAAACAAAAAGTGTTATCCTTCAGTGTATAATTTATTTGCTTCTCTATTTTAAGAACTGAATAGTAGCAATTTAAAGGAAATGGTTTCTGAATTCTCAGCATTTATGTGAAAATGGGCTGTAATCTCTCTGGCCCACTGGTGATCCTCACATACAGCTGGAAAGGTCAGACTGACCTTCAGGGTCTTTTCAGAGAGGAAGCAAACAAAATACTCAGTTTATTGTTGTCATAATCTCAGCCTTGAAAGAAGAAATAATTTAAAATCATCTTTGAAATGGCTGCTACCATGTAATCACACAAATCTTAGAAAGTTACTTTTGTAGATCTGTGAGTGTTCATTATCTAATGTGAAAGTAAATAGAGGTGAGATACTTGATAATTAATTTTTTTTAAATTATGTAAACTTTAAGTTTTCTTTTTTTCTTAACCCTGCTAGTTATTTATTCAAAAGTTAGCTTTGCATTCTGCCCTAATTTTCTAAAAGGGTTACAATAGTGTACTGCAGTTGTGCACAGATTAAAAATACATATGGGTTAAAAGATTGTTCTGAACCTCACTCTTTAAATGGTATTTTGGATAATTGAAACATGCTCTGTATTTATATTCTTGGGAAGATAACTTTCTTCATCCTATTATCACAGATAAAAGATGTCCTTAACACCATTCTAATGATTTGGTTGCAGAATTCTTCCCATAGCAAAGCAATTAAATTATGCCCTCCTGATTTAGTTCTTAGCTCAGTTTATCCACTGATCAGTTTAAATTTAGAGCTTTTATCTTGGTAATACTAGACTAGTTAAGTATGTTAAATGTCATTGCTAGTTGGGGTTAAAATTCAACAACTGAATTGTCACCAAATTGAAATAAATCAGAATGCCATATCCTTCAACAAAAATCTCAACTAGCATATTTGGTCACAGGAAGCAGTAAGGATTTACTCCTGGATCTAACACTGTCTGACCCTGCTTGCGTGGAGTTGATACATGGCATATGTGCTCCCCTGACTAAATTTAGGTTCAGGGAAGATCATACCAAGTTCTCTGGATTAGTTCCAGAGCCCGTTACTGTACGATGAAAGGGAGAAGTAATGGCAAAAAATACACATCATTAATATGTTTTTTTTTTCCTGTTGGTGATATGCCATGTTTTAATAGTTATTAGATAGTTATTTATCTACTGAAGTGTTGTGGTCAAACCCCTGGAATTGTGATGTTCAGCCAGTTAAGGTTAATAGCCTTGTATGTCTCTCTCACCTTACTACACTGAAATCAGGGAGGTTCCTTGAAGCCAGGGGACAATTTGGGTGGTCAGAAATGCCTAATGTGGACTTCTCAAAGAAAACAAGTGCATTCAAAACATCTTGCCGTGTAAACAAGTCATTGCAGGCATTGGGATAGCCTGGGGCTTGGCAGTTTAAAATACAGATCCCTTTGCCCAGGGGTCAGCAGCAGTGAGAGTGGTGGCTGGCAGTGGCAGCTGGAGGAGCCCGTTGTGGAAGTTGCTCTAAGTGTGTTTTGCCATGGGGTGATGGACACATCAGAGTGCCCCTTACCTCAGGGCACAGCATCTGCTGGCACATACAGGACAGACATTGAGATGGAGATCCCTTCTGACCCTTGGGACTTGTTTGTTTACCACTGTGATCGTGCTTTTCTGGTGAGGGATGGAAAGGAAGATGGTTCTGCCTGAGTTTGCTGAATATGATCTTTGAGGCTGTTCATCACTGGCATTGCTTCATCTTGAATTCAGTCTCTGAAACTTTCAGAAATGCTTGTGAAGCTTTTTATACTGTACACCACAAAAACATCCGTTACTCTCCGATTATGTCATCTTCTTTAACCAAAGTTGTCCAAAAAATCCTTTTGATCTTGCATTTCTCTTCATCTACACTAAATTTATATGTTTCTGGGGTCAGGGACCCCTGTGGTGAGATCACTTCATAAGACTGGGCTCCAGGCATACTTTGGAGAATTTATTCAAATCTAAAGGGATTTTCAAATGTTGTGAAGGAAGGGATGGGTTCCAGGCCTTACACAGATCTTAGATGTGGGTACTGAAGGAAATAATTGACCTCTTAGAATCAAAGGGGTTTGGTTTTGGGTGGTGGTGTGTGTTTGTTTGTTTTTAGTTGAGTCTCCACTTCTGGATATCCCGTGTTAAACTTCCAGGGATCTTCAGCCTGTGAAATCATTTTAAGTGCCCCTGTCCCCTCTTTGAGTGAATTGGGGCTTTAGCCTGGAGTCCTCTCTAAGTCTTGCAGAGAGAGAGAGAGAGAAGGGTTTAAAAAAAAAAACAAACAACCAAACAAGTCCCCAGACAAAGATTTTAAAGAACACACAAAAATGGGAAGCAGGTAAGAGCCATAACAAGCTGGCAGACTTCTCTGAGACTTCTCTGCAAGTGTGTGCCAGAATCAAAAGTTCTGCAGCCTTAATGGTTAAGCAGGATAGGTAGCTGAATTTCTAAATTTTGCCTTAAATGTCATTTCAAGCAAAAAAAGGTGATTTAAAATATATGCCTGAATTTCGATTTGGATAACTTTATTCTCTCTCCTTAGCTACACAGTTTTAGATCTGCTAGGTATCACAGTTCAGCTCTTTTTGTAGCTGCCTCTCACTTCTGGTTGACCGCGGGTTTCCTTGCAGTCCGTCCCTTCCCAAAGTTTATGTTGAAGCTTGTTTGGTAACAGTGTTGACGTGGTTCTGTGTTAGAGGGTGTGCGGGAGCTCAGCTCCCTCTAGGGACTGATTCCAGGAATTATCCTGCCGGCAGCAGGAAGGAGGAGGTCAGGAAGCAGCCAGCGGTTGTGGTCCTCCAGTTTGAGGTTAACTCATTATATTCATACAGCTCTATGAATATATATTATTCATACCTATTTTAATGGTTACACGTGGGTGAAATTGATGTGTTGCTAATGGGGGACAGCCTAAAAGCAGCTGCTGAATGCTTTCACTTGTTTGTTTAAAATTATTTCTTGAAATTTCAGATACCTCTGATGAACAGAATTCACAGTCTTCGATGGAAAATTCCATGAATAGTTCAGAGAAAGCAGAAATTCAGTCCTCTGGAGAAAATGATATAATTACAGAGGCATCTAAAAACTCTCAGGTAACTTTAAGTACAACAGCCCAATTACTTGGGATTTGGAAAAGAGTATTTTTACCAAAAAGCAAATGTAAGGAGGCCAGTTGTGTCTTTAGACTCATTTGCAAAGGTGGTGATAGTAAAGCAGAAGAGTGTTAAATGTACATGTATATGGTTTTGTGGTTAATCTGATTAGCTTCTTGCATTTAATCTAATTTCGGCAGTAAGACTAGATTGGTCTGATCTATTTTTCAGTTCCCTAAACCAGCCTGTGTTAGTTTTGTAAGGGAATATTAGAATTTCACATTAATAAATTGCTTGGTCCTAACCTACCGGACAGGCCCCTTGTGAGGACCATTCAGAAGTAAAATACCCTCTGTAAAAGTAAATGCATGTAGCAGTTAGCAAAGGTTTTGTGGGTTTACCTCGTGGGTGGTTGGCTCATTTCAGTGCACACCTTGGGCTTTCCAGACCATGTGTGTCCTGTCCTGTAGAGATTGCTTTGCCTAGAGCAGAACGTTGGTGTGTGCTCCGAGCAGGGTGTGCTTGAGTGTGGAGATGAGGGAGGTCCAGGCATAACCATGTATCAAAGCTGTTTCTTGGAATATTCACTGTGGTTTTTAGCCCAGAACTAGAATTTTGCCCTTTGTAGATGAGAACAAGTGTAAAGGAGTTGAGGTAAGATATAAGTGGGGGAGTGATTTCAGGAAGCTAATGCACTTGGTCATCCTCCCGTCCAGGGGTGCTTCACATTTTACCAGTGACACACCAGGAGTTTGTTCATGCTTTTAGTTTGCTGTTTATGGTGCCTGAAATTCAGTGCGATGATAACGTGGTTGTTTTTCTTTTCCTCCTCATTAAGGACTCTGAAGGAGTGCCACCTTCTAAAAAGATGAAAGTAGAGGCTTCCCAACAAAATGTTGAAGAGATTTAGACTGTAGATTTTTTCTGGTCAGTTTTTCTGTAAGGTACATCAGTGGGCTTAATTATAGAACAACCTTACTTAAGCATCTTCTCTTGGATGAGGACAGAACTCCTAACTTTTCAAGTTACCAAGCAAAAATCCAAGAAAGCCTAACAAAGGTTTAACTTCTCAGACACTGAAAACTTTTTCCTGTGAAACAAACATTGAGAACTTTTAAGTTACTGTCTCTGAAATGGTTGGAGTAAACAACTCAGGAGGGGTCTACGCACTGTTTCTAAAGTCAAAATTACAATTATGTTGCTGCTGTATTTTTTTTTTTTTTTTTTTTCATTTCTCTATTTAACATTGTAAGATATTTAAGGATGGTACAGGTCAGGTATTAGCTTTCATGTGAAGTTCATTGTTCTGGCGTGATGTCTGCTTTTGTTTTGTGCCTTGTGTTCTGAAAACAGTGCTAACTTTTAAAAGTTGTTTTGCAGCTGTCTCCTTTGCAAAGTGGCCTATGTTTGTATAATGCCATGTAGTAAGGCTTTTTTCTTTTTTTTTTTTATTTCTCTTGTTTGGGGTTTTTGTTTTGTTTTTAATTTTTAAATCCCTGGTGCTTAAATTTTTAACAAATACAGATCAGGAAGCCATTTTCACTCTTGGAGTCCGAGGAGAAAAAAGGAGCTTGATATTTTATTTTAGCAGCTATGGTGGAGATCTTTTATTGAATGCATGGCATTCGCAACTGTAAATTTGGTCTTCTAAATACTTAACTTCATCAGAAGTTAACATGATCTGTTTACCATTTATAGTCCAGATCTGAATATATACTATAACACAGCAGTTAAAATACTTAGGTATTAGGTCCAGATCTCTGTACTGGGTACAACTCGCTTTACAGAAGAGTTCCACTATGTACATAAATAGGATCAAAGGGATTGATGCACAGTGACTTTATTTTCCATTGGTCTTTTTTGATATCATGTTTTCACTGAACTGGATTTCATTGTACTGTTTCTTTATAAGAGGTTTACTTCTGTGTTCCAGGATGATACTGTACTTGGGGTTTCTTTTTTTTTTCATTTCAGCAAGTCTTGTAAATAAGCCTTGTTGTTTCCATAGTCCCCACATCAGCGTTAGAAACGTTCCTACTTCTCCAGCCACGCTGGGGGCGCGCGGCCGCTCAGCTGGGTGCAGAGGCCAAAGCCTGGGCAGCTCCCCTCAAATTCGTGGCACGTAGGAACGTGGAACCACCCACAAGCAGGTCCCACAGTGGGCCTTGGGCTTCCAGGGTCAGCCCCCAATGGCGAGTGGTGGGACCTGCTCTGTTCTCACCTCAGCACACACCGGCGCCGATGGACAGACAGACGTCCTGGTCTGTCCTCACTGGGCGTGGGAGATGGAGCTTGTCATTGAAAATACAGTCTCACAGCTATGAAAGTGGTTGCATATAGATTGTAAGCTAAGAACTGTAAATACTTTTTTAAATGAAAACAAACAAAAAGTTGCTTCCAGTTGATACATTTTCAGAATTAGCTCTTCATTAAGTTTATTTATTTCTGAATTCTCCAGTAGTGAAAATGGCTTGCACTTAGACTACTGCGTTGCGTTTGCAATTACCACTTTATTATGAAAAACAATGGGGATTGGGGGAGGGCGCAGCGGGAGGGAGGAGTGGGGAGCCCAAACTGACCTTCCAGAAGATCTTTGTAGGACTGAACTCCAAATAACGTCTGACACTCAGTTTCGGAACTTTCCCTTTATGTTGAAATAAACCTTTTTGGATTTTGACTGAATAAAATTTGATTGCAAGTCATTCATGAAAACAGCGTGCTCCCTAGTAAGTTTTTCTTTTGGATTTCTGGTCTGATCATGAAGTCCATTAACATGCTGAAAATAAGGAAATGAGGAGCCAAAACCTATATTTTCACAATATATGCAATGAAATGGTAGAATTCTCTCTTGAATTGTGTGTATGCCTAAAATGTGGATAACTGGTCAATGGCGATTGATTTGTATGTATATTACATTCAGATTTAAGTGATATTTTGTGAGAAGTTCTATTGATATATTAAACGGGCAAATCTAGAAAGATTCAAACTTAAAAATATTTTTGGTTTACTAACTTTTTTGTTGTTTTAAATGTTAAAACAAAAACGAATCTGATGCCACCTTTGACAAATAGTCGTGTTTACTAATCCCTATCTTCAGGTGCATCGCAGCGAGTTTTTAATTTTAATTTTGTAGACGTTCCCAAGGGAGTAAGTAGACTTTTCATTTAGAAACTTAATTCCTGTACTTTAGGAAAAAATAAAATATATAAATAGCACTAAAAATACCTCAAATTTTTTCATTAGATAGAAGCATTTATTGGCATTATTGACATTGACAGGTTTAATTATAAACTTCCTTTGCTCTCCTGTGGCTTCTGCTCAGAACCGCTCATTGTTCTGTGGCTTACAAGACAAGGCATCATAACCATATTCCTAGAGGCTTTATTTCAAAAGTAGCAATGCTTTATTTACAGCTTATACAGAATACATTCAGAACTTTTGTTTTTTAAACCAGAGATTCTAGTGACAACAGACAACCGAACAAGCAGATAGATTTGGGTTCCTTAGACCCGCTATTGTCAGTCTCTAAGGGGAGAGACTTTGACATTATCTGGTATGAAGAAATCCAAAATAGCGTATAAGACTGTTATTAGTCTTTTTTTGAAGTGCCTGATAACATTTATGGGCCAACGGATGTGATTAAACACATTTTAATGCCAGAAAGTACAGATGGGACCAAACCAGAACATCGACTTCAAACCCACCTGAGGTTTGAAACCAGATCTACATCCAGCTTTTTTTGGCTTGGACCTATCTCTACCAGGAACTTGTTTTATGAACTCACTGTAAAAGGGTTTATCGAAAGCATTGAAACGTGGAGCAGAAGGAGAGATGTAATTTTCTTCAAGATGACTGAAAGTTCTCATACAGCTAAGGTTTTAGAAATAGTGCAAATATCAAGAAGTGCTTCCTTGCTACAATGCTGAATGTTGGAGCTTCAGTTACAAATAAACTAAAAAAAAAAAAAAAAAAAAAAAAAAAAAAAAAAAAGAAAAAAAAAAAAAGGAAAAAAAAAAAAAAAAAAAAAAAAAACACTAGATAGAAGCAAGCAAGTAAATTAGCTGAGTTTGTGGAACATGTGGGAAGGCCTTCCGAATAAGCGATTTACTCAGCCAAACATTTTATAGCAGAACTATTCCTTGGAATTTTTATGCTTGGGGAAAGTAGTTGTTAAACATTCCAAAAAGTGCTGGCACTTACAAAACAACAAAAAAAAATATCAACAAGGCAGTATAAAATATTGGTTTTGGGTGGCTATCTTCATACATAAACATTGTCATGTTTTGGAATGTTCTTTATATCTAAGGGCCTGCTAGAAGGTGTAAAGAATTTTGTTTTCTCCAATACCTAATCGTTTTCCATCTTATGATTTGTGTGTGTGTGTGTTGTACAGCAGTATAATTTTTCACTTATTTATTCCATCGGTAGTTATGGTTTGTACAATGTACAATGGTTTCATTTCAAAAATAAAATTTAAAAAAAAAAATCACAACACGAATGCTGCGTGAATGATTTTTATCAAGAAACTTAATCTCAGTTTGTTTTTCTCAAATTTACAATAAATTTCTGGTTTTATACATGATGTTTAAAAACGTGCATTCTATGGTGTTGTCTCATTTGGTAAGGTGAAAAATGATTCACCTCTGAGTGGACCAAATCTGTCCTGATACTGTAGCAAGACACTGAGCAGGGCGGGAGCAGTTTGTGGTGGTTGTAACAACAACAAAGAAATAGATATGACCAAGGTAATTACAGCAACCTGTGCACTAACTTGGTAATTTGAGGTGCTTACTTGCTGGCTTGATACTTGGCAGATGTGTTGTGGCAACTTAAATTGGAGGGAGGAGAGCACAGTGTGGAAACACGCTTCGGTTTGGAAACATGCTGGCGTCTGACGCTTGCAAGGGTAAAGCTCCTGGAGAGTTTTGGAAAGATTCTTTACATTCAAGATGGATATAAAGTGTCTGGCTTATTTTTAGTCTTCTTTGTGCTCTGTCCAAAGTAGCCTGCAGTTTCACAGGCGGCTGAACTGGTCTGCTGGCTCAGTGCTGCCAGAAGGGTGAGCCGCAGCCACTGTCCCTGCTCCCACCTTGGTTTGGTTGCCTCCCTTGAGTTTACTGGGGTGATCATAGCATCCTCTCATCAACCACTACAACTTGCCAACCTGGGAGGAAAACTACCCATTTTTAGTTAGGCTTTTTTTTTTTCTTCTCTGGATCAGTGAATAAAATCAGCAGACTTACATAAGGGAAGTATAGAGAGAGAGAGAGAGAGAGAGAGAGAAAGAGTAGAACTGGAGAGAAAGAAAAGTATAGAGGTAGAAATGAGGACATTACTCCAGAGGGGTCCCAGAAGGAAAGGCTCTGAACAGATAAGGTTCATGCCAGGGAAGGGTGGAGGAGTGAGCAGCAGCCCAGCCTCAAGTGCAGAGCTGGAGGTGGGCCCTGTGCTTTGCCTGGGAGCAGGACCAGCAGAGGAGCCAGAGGAGCCAGCAGTGTTCACAGCATGGCTGGACTCCAGCACCTGCAGTCAGCACCATGGTCTGAGGCTCTGAGTAAAAGTCCTTGCGCCTCATCAGAGTGGGAACCCTTATCTTCCCATCTGTAGATTTAGGAGGATAATCTCTTACCACTAACTATGGCAGAGCATGCTGCAAGTGTATTTCTGAACAGCTTGCATGCCTCTGCTCACCGTGCTACAGTTCTGTGGTGGTGGATGGCTGTCTCCTGTGCTAAAAGCTTGAGCTGTTGAAGGAACATCATCAGAAGATGGTGGCCTATGTTTCACCTTGCAGTGCAGATAGCTCTAAAGAGCCAGTAAGGAGCAGCATATGGGAAAGAAGCTGCTGTGGCCCGTTAGTGTTTCCTCGTGCCTCCTGGAACTCCTTACTGTGGAGGCAGAGAGGATAGCTGGGCATCTTGACCTGTTGCTGGTCACCTAAATGCTGATCTTAAAAAGGGAAACCAAGAGATCTGTCTCCAAAATAACTGGATTTATTTTTAGGGATGCCACTGTCCTTCATCTGTGGTATTTGCACTGAGGATGACTAGAGGAGAAAACCCTGAACGGTGTCAAATATTGGTCATAGCTTAAGGTTGCTACCTGCTGTAAATGATGGTTTGGTGTACTGCTAACTCTTAGAAAATTGCATTGCTAT